AGAAAGAAAGAAAGAAAGAAAGAAAGAAAGAAAGAAAGAAAGAAAGAGGGAAGGAGGGAGGTTATTTCCAATTAAGTCTGCAATTTAGAAGCAGGATTATTGCAGGATAGGAAACGAAGGTTATACAAGTATGCCTATACAAGTAGTCTTCAACTTACAACAGTTCATTTAGTGACTGTTTAAAATTTTCTTTGCGCAACATGAACATCAGGCACCAATTTGCAACATCTAGGTTGTGACTCTACATTTCCAAGTAACAGATTTGCTCTGGGGGACAATATTCCCATCATTTCTTTTGGCTTTGAAAACATAACCATTCTTAAGTTCCCAATCTACTTCTTATCATTAGCAGAACTGTTATGTTCCTGGCCCACCAGCAACAGAAACAGAGACCGGATACTTTATCCAGGAATTAATTTCACTTATGATAGGGAAAGCAAAAAAACCCGTTCCCTTGGTTTAAATTGGCCTTCATTTTTAGACAGCATTTTGGTTAGATTCCTTGAAATTTATACTGCAGTAAGAATGACAGCTTTGCCTGATGTAGAAATGATTATTATGAACATCGCCAAAACCACCCTGAGAATGGAAGTAAGGAAGGAAAGATATCCATTTCTTGAATAAGAGGAATGGAAACCACAAAAAAGTCCACAATCAAAATGTTCTTGTCAAGTGTAGCTCCATTCAAAATCCAAGAAAGAAAACCTTAGACTCCATTTTTATAGAGAAAAGGACTTTTACTGAATATGAAGTGGTATCAACAGAAGAAATACAAGATCTGAGGCAAAAGGCACAGAAATTACATTTAGAAAGTTATCCCAAGTCCCCACTGCCAACAATTCAAACTGGTCATCCAATCTGAGGTATGTATAATGTCATGTGGGTTACATCTTCAGGTGGTGTCTACACATCTGGTATGCCAAGATGGTTGACCTTGGCTTAGAAAAGATAAGTGGCTGTGTTTGTGCAGTAAGCAGAAAAGCAACATTTACAGTTCACAAAACTTCAACCTCCAGCACCCTTCCCTCCACGAAGCCTAATTATTCCTCCTCCCCAGTTTCTATGGCAGCTGCAAAGAGTCAAGAAGAAATATTGGAGGCTGACAGTTCTATTGATTGATAGGATGTGTCTATGGAGATTCTCAATCATCTAAGTCATGGTTATCCCAAAGGTGCTTTTTCCAAAACGCAACTGGATTTTCTTGTTTGTTTGTTTTTCTTTGAAAACATTTCACTTCTCATCCATGAAGTTGAAGAAGCTTCTTGGATGAGAAGCAAAATGTTTTCAAAGCAAAACAAAAAACAAAAACAAGAAAGTCCCATTGTCTTTTGGAAAAAGCACCTTTGGGATGACCATGACTTAGATGATTGACCCTTCCAGGTGAATGCAAGAAAGTTGTTAGCTGTACATGTAGCTATCCATGGAAATTCCATCAAAATGGAATTACAAGAAAAAGGAAGATGGATTAATCACACCTGACAATTGGCCATTTATATCTGATGATCTACAGTTGGCTGGATGAAGTATACCAAGAATAATACTCAGAATGAAATCCAAACATGGAAAAGTGGAGGCTGCCATTTTTAGCCAAAATGCCATTTTGACCTTAAAAATGGTTCCCCATTCTTGGGTTTAAACAGGATGCCTCTCATACCATATTTCCACTCCTTTTATCATCCTTTGTCATCTTGATAAGAGTTATAGTGACTGAGAAGACATTTCTCACCGTGTTGGATAATTCCATGCTCCAGAAGTCTGCGGCCGAGTTGTTCAGCCTCAGCTCTGGTGGCAGCCTCCCCTTCCTGGATCAACCAGTCAATCAATTGAGACGCCATGAAAGTACGCTCATATTTTGCTCCTTCTTCTTCTCTGGCTTGTAAAATAACGTTTTCAGTATTCATAAGCCTGCAATGAAAGTAGGGATTGGAAAGGGAAAGGGTCAATGCATACATAAGTAGAATAGAATAGAATAGAATAGAATAGAATAGAATAGAATAGAATAGAATAGAATAGAATAGAATAGAATAGAATAGAATTCTTTATTGTTACTTTAAGTGTATACTAATCAGCACATATTTAAATGAAATTTCTGTGCATTCAGCTCTCAAAAGATAATCATTATGCATATACCTACACCCACACACATATATCACATAGAGAAACATCACCGACTACTTCAAATGTATACATACACATGGTAAAAAAAAAAGAACCTGTGAGTTTACAAGACGGATGGCATAGGGATCAAAGCTGTTACAGAATGTAGTAGTCCTACTATAGATACTTCGAAACCTCCTCCCAGAAGGGAGTAACAGAAACAGACCGTGAAGTGGTGTGTGGGGTCTCTAACAATGCTTTGAGCTCTAAGCACATAGCGCTTAGAAGCAGCATCCTGAATACCGGGAAGTGAGCTTCCTATGATCTTCTCAGCTGTCCTTGCCACTCTCTGTATGGACTTTCTATCTGAGGCACTGCTGCCACCAAACCAAACAGTTTGTTAAAAAGCTCCCAATCGTGCTTCTGTAAAAAGTGGCCAGGACAGAAGGAGACAGATGTACACTCCACATCCGGTACAGAAAATGCAGACACTGATTTGCACACTTCACTAAAGATAATGTATGAAGAGACCAAATCAGATTGTCAGTTATCTGCACCCCCTAGATACTTAATGCTATTGACCATTTCCACAGCTTCAGTCTTGATATAAAGTGGAGTGTGACTATGCCAGCTCTTTCTAAAACCAACAATGATCTCCTTTGTTCTGTTAGCATTCACAGAAGAATATCAAACAGGTATATTCCTCGACTTACAACCGGTCATTTTTACAGCTCAGAATGGGTGTTTTATGAACTGTAAAACAGGGCTTTCCAACCTTGGCAACTTTAAGTCTGGCGGACTTCAACTCCCAGAATTCTCCAGCCAGCTGGCTGGGGAATTCTGGGAGTTGAAGTCCGCCAGGCTTAAAGTTGCCAAGGTCGGAGACCCCTGCTGTAAAGCACTTCTGAATGTTGTAAAACGTCACGCCAACCCCCTGGTCACATGACCACATTCCAAGTGCTTGACAACAGACTCGCCTGTATGTTGCCACATCCCATGGACACATGACCATGATGTGTGACTTTTTTTTTTGCCAGTGTCCCACATTCATGCAAAAAAAAAAAAAAAAAAAAAGCTCTTTTGGAAGAATGGGTTCGCATAACAACCACACCATTCGCTTAATGACCGTAGTGTTTGGGAAATAGTTGGAAAAACAGATCAGGTCATGTGGGATGGCTCGACTTACAATCACAATGACTTGCAACCGGATTTCCTGACCCAATTGTGATTGTAAGTGAAGGACTACCTCTATTGCAGAAATTCATTCATAAGGTTCCAATTTCTGAGTGAGTGAATGAAAGAATGAATGATCCAAGCAATTGCTTTGATCTAATAAATCCCACGTTTAGCTTGTTGCTTATCGAGCTGATTTTACACGTGGTTGAAGCCAGTACTATCTGCTCTCCTCTAAAGCAGAAACTGCTTTAGAAACTAAAGCAGAAACTGCTTTAGAAACTAAAGCAGAAACTGCTTCTGGACTTGAGGAAAGGAGGGGGGATGAAACTTTGAATTTGGGTTTTACCAATTAGATAGGTTCAATGTTATAGAAATGGCTACTTTATACTATTATGTAAAAATAAAAAGGTGAGGTTTGGTTTTATTATTTTATTCTACTGCACCAAAGGGAGTCGGTAGTCAATGCCTTTTCTTTCTTTTTCCCCTTTTTCCTACATACACATTTCTCTTCCTTTGCCCTCCCCTATCTTTTCTTTTGCATTTTATGTGATAAATTAATAATAATAAAAAAGAAAACTAATGCAGAAAAGGCAAGATACATTCCATAGACAAAGCTACAATTAGGTCTCTGTTTTTCATAGGAAATCAATAGGTAGTTTGTGGACCAGGTTATAATTCAACCCAATCCACTTGCCTTCCCCAAATGGATATTTTCCAAATGTATAGAAACTATGGCTTCTAAAAATTACAGACAGTATTAGAATCTATCCATTCTGGTTGGAAGCTCTGGGACCTGCAATCCAAATACATCTGGAAAATATTAAGTTGAAGACAGTTTGACAGTTGTTGTTTTTTAATTTTTGAAGCTTCAACACAATGTAGAGTTTAGATGGGGTCTCAGAATTTGTGCTGTTCCTCTTTAACTTCTTCTTCAGTATTGATACGAGTAACTACATAGCCAAACTACATGACACTGTAACTACATAGCCAAAAAGGCATTAAGAGTTGTTAACCTGATCCTACATAGCTTTTTCTCTGGTAATATCACACTACTAACTAGAGCACACAAAACATTTGCTAGACCAATACTTGAACACAGCTCATCGGTCTGGAACCCACATTACGTATCTGATATTAGCACAGTTGAGAAAGTCCAGAAATATTTCACAAGAAGAGTTCTCCACTCCTTTACTCGTTACAGAATACCTTATGCCACCAGATTTGAAATTCTAGACCTAGAAAACCTCGAATTACGCCGTCTTCGGTCTGATGTAAGTATGGTATATAAAATCATACATTGCAATGTCCTACCTGTCAATGAATACTTTAGCTTCAACCATAACAACACAAGAGCACACAATAGATACAAACTCAAGGTTAACCGCACCAAACTTGATTGCAGGAAATACGACTTCAGCAACAGAGTGGTCAATATCTGGAATACTCTACCTGACTCTGTGGTTTCTTCCCCAAACCCCAAAAACTTTAACCTTAGACTGTCTACTATTGACCTCACCCCTTTCCTAAGAGGTCTGTAGGGGGCGTGCATAAGCGCACCAACGTGCCTACCGTCCCTGTCCTATTGTTTCTTTTATTTTTCTTATATGTACCCATTTCATGTGTTCATAACTATATATATACCTATACCTATTATCTTATAAGCGATTGACAAATCAAATAAATAAATAAATAAATAAATAAATAAATAAATAAATAAATATTAGGCTGCAAGCCTTGACACCATCACAAACCTCCCACTTAACCATTTTTTCACATTTCGTTCATAGTATAGGTAGTCCTTGACATACAACAATGGTTTCAAGTTTTACAAGTTTTGTAAAAGTGATTCACATCCCATCTTTATAATTACGACCGTTGTACCATTCCCGCACTCGTGTGATTGCAATTCAGGCACTTAGCAACTGGCTTTGCACTTACAATGGTTGCAGCCCCTTGTGGTGATGTGATTGTGATTTGTGACTTTCCCAGCCAGCTGCCAACAAGACAAGTTCAATTGGGGAAGCTGGATTTGCTTAGGGACCGAATGGTTCATTTAACAACTTTATGTGATTTATTTAATGACTAACCACCACAGGTAAAAATGGTTACAAAAATCAGTGATGACTCGCTTAATGATTGCATCGCTTAGCAACTGAAATTCCAGTCCCAGTTTGAGTTCATAAGTTGAGGACATAATGAATAGTTAACAGACCTGCCTCATACATTTGCATAATGAACAAATTGCCACAAATGGAACAACTGTTCTTATAACTATGCTAAACCCTTAAACCGGTCAGGATATGACAGCAATAATGTTTCAGCCAACATTTCCATCAACATTTATACTAAGGAGGAAGTGAAGTCACCAAATCATCAAAACTATTTGACAGTTAGTTGTTTTCCACATTTTTAAAAAATAAATTGAATAATGTAGTCCTAGATTATTCATTTGGTACAGGTAATATTGTGGAGGTAACCCATTTTATGTTGTTCTTCAAAAGTAATTAATCAAACCAGATGCCAAAAGCCCATCTCCCAAACTGTTGCATGAGAATTAGAAACTCTGCTTCTGCAGACACAAAGCCAAATGTTGGTCCAATCTTTTCTTAACAAAAAAGTTACAACAGTTTCTCTAAGTGAGAAATTTGTATTAATTGTTCTCTGATGTGGAATGCCAGAAGATAGTACCGTAAATATTAATGTAAGGAGGCCACATAGAAACAAGAGTATTAAATGGCTGAACTCAGGGAAGCTTACCAAAAATGAATGTTTGTGACATGCTATTTTCTGAGAAATATATTTTGAGGCGACTAAAAGTTCCCTTTGAAATGAGCTGAATTCTTCGAAACAGATGGACACTGATTCATGTTATTTTCTTGATAAAAATACAGAAGGACTTTGTTGCCTTCTTCTAGAGCAGGGGTGTCCAACCTTGGCAACTTTAAGACTTGTGGACTTCAACTCCCAGAATTCCTCAGCCAGCAAAGTCCACAAGTCTTAAAGTTGCCAAGGTTGGACACCCCTGTTCTAGAGTGAAGCTTGACTAGAGCAGCGTGGTGGCCTAGTGGTGAAGATGCTCCCCTTCCACTTCGAAGGTTGAGAGTTCAATCCTAGGTAGCAGCAGAAAAAAAGGGTGCATCTTAGGGTGCGAAGAAAAAAAAAATCTGCTGTAAACTCCGTGTGGTGTCAGGAAGGGCATCCAGCCAGTAAATGCTCAGCTCCATCCAGTTTGCTCCAACTCTACCCCAAATTAAGGGATTACAGCAGAGGTCTCCAAACTTGGCAACTTTAAGACTTGTGGGCTTCAACTTCCAGAATTGAAGTCCACAAGTCTTAAAGTTGCCAAGTTTGGGGACCCCTGGATTACAGGGTTGTAAAAAGGAGGGTTTTTTTTTTAGAGTGAAACTTGAATAAAACTATAGCCCCCTTGAACTTCAAGTGGTAGCCCCCTTAGCTTCAAGTGGTAGCAACTACATATTTGAAAAAAAGTACAGCATCCCTCCTTTATCTGTTTATATGCATATAAAATGCAGTTTCTTGCATTAAAAAAAGCTATGGAATATTGATTGGATGCTCAATCCAGATTGAGAATGGAATGTTCTCAATAAAAAAATGTAAAATTGAAAAGGTACTCA